TCGTAGTTACCACAATAGTCAGCGCCCGTGGTTCCAGCCTGTCTTGTGACCATGAGACGGGACACGCGTGGATTTATCTTTCTGTTGTGTCTTGTTTGTGCTTGACAAAACTTCAGGTGCTCAGGGTGATAGTTCATCAGAGCATCTCTGTAGTCTTTAAAGAGAGTTGAAAGGCAGAAGCAGAAAATAATCTGCATCACAGTCCAGGATTTCCACAGGTTTTGCTGAACATTTTCACAGCAGCTCTGAACTTCCCAGGAGGAGTGGGACTGCATGTCCCTTGTCTTATGAGCTTATGTATCTTCAGCTTTGCGTACCTTACAAACTCATATCTTATGAACTACAGACAGATATCAAGCCACTGGTAGATACATCAGCCATTGACTGGTAACTGGCTGATATGAACTGTTGCATCTTCTGGGGAACATGGTAGGTACAGTAGCCCATTCTTGAAAGTAGTCTGCACGGCAAAAGTTGGTTTTGTCTTCAGCCTTACTGACATCAGAAGTACTGGAAATTCCCAAGACCCTTCAGACTCAAGAGCCTCCTGCAGACCTTTCCTTAAACAAAGATGATGCAGACTGAAGGCTGGTCCGTCAGCAGGGACTAACCAGAACAGCCCCACGGAGCGACAGCGTTACTGGAATAGTGACTTGGTGCAATCAAGCTGCATCTGCCAGTTGAAATCATCAGCACTTGCACTTGGCTCTTGCTGCTGGCTGGCGGATCAGGCAGAGCAGCTCAGCATCCAGAAATTTTAGAGGTTTTATATCAACTGCCAACATCTCACTTGGCTTATATAGCAAGACCTTTTTGGTCTCCTCTTTCATCCCAGGATATTTCTTTCATTAAACTAAAAGTAACATTTCCAGGAAATGTGGTGTCCTGAAATGCCAAAGCCAGCTGGCAGCTTTGACTGCTCGAACATCTACATGGGTTCTACTTAGGTAGATAATACAATAACTCGTACAAATCCTGAAAACAGTTATGAAACTCTCAAGTTTCCATGGCATCTATGTATTAACATAGTACAAATGTTTGCTGTTTCTGAAGACTGTTTCTTTAGAACCTCTGCAGTTTTTTAAAGGGAAGTATATTCACTGGCAAGTACTGAGCTCAATGGCACTGGGCTAGAAAGGGCACTTGGAAAAACTGCTTCTAAACTATCAACACACCTCAGGTTACTAAATTTCTGAAACACAGTAACAAAAAACAAACTAAACACGAAGGGTACACAGTCTCATTTCCTTACCTATATTTAAGTCCAAAACAACATCTCATTTTACATGTAAGCTGCTTAAAAAACACCCAGACCAAAGGCTTGGTGTGGAATAGCTTAAAACTGAGAGCAGGACCTTGGTTCTTTACCGTAGTACACCTCAGCCTGTGTAACCCATGTGTAGTGATCATAAATTCTTCACACCTTGACAACTTACAGCTGGGGAAGGCCCAGTATCAGTTCCCAGGTGCCAAACCCTGCTTTGGTTTGTCAGCTTAGGGCAGGGTCAAATGTGCTGCTCTCAGCACAAGTAAACTTCAAGACAACGTGTCCTTGCCCCTGCTGGCAGAACTGAGCAGATATTTATTCCCCAAGAAAACAATAATCTGGTTTAAAAAAACCAGTCATCTAAAATACTTTAAAACTTACCCAGGCTACATCCTTTGATGCCTATAATCATTAGCTTCTTCTGAAAATGGCAATTCAAGTGTTTTCATGTCTCAAGAACAGATTCATTCTATACCTTGGCAGATGGTGACTGCCATCTTTGGTGGCAGGACTGGCTAGATAATGCCCATACCAACAAACAGCAGGTTTTTCCAGCCAACAAAGGTACCAAAAACCTCAACATGACTCCGTGCATCAGTTTTGTGTATCAAAAAAAGATAAAATAGCCCAGCTTATTGTGTGCAAGCAAATGTCACTTTAAACCTTCTATTGTGTGTTTTCAGTTTTTGTCAATTTTAACTGCGGCAATCAGTTTACAAAGAGCTCTTGGTTACTAATTACCATGCTATGGTTTTATCCTTGCAAGAAATTTGCATCAGCAGAGTTCAGCTAGAGATAGTACTGGAAGGTAATCAACTGAGCATACTCCATAGCAACCCCAGGGCATAACCCCCACAAGGAAGCAGTTGTGATTAAAGTGGTTGAAAAGGCTGTGCTTTAGTCACACCTGCGTTACAGTAACTAAGCAATAATACATCTTTCAGTAAGGACTAGGGAGTACATTAAAAATTCCCTAGGTCAGGCATTCGCTCAGACTCCATGACCACAGGAGAAAACCAAAAGATTCTCATTGTGCCGGGTGCTTGGCTGTTCAATAGCTCACTCACATGATCCAAGCTTCTGCCTTCAAGCACAAAACTGACCACAGATTTCTTGTGGGGAAAAAAATTTTCCAGTGAAAGCATATGCTTGGAAAGCTCAGAAAACAAAAGGAATCTGCTTAAGTTCATGGAGCAAGAGTCTGCAATATACTCAACTCAGAAGGACCTGTCTTGTAATAAGCAAATATGTAATGGCTTTATTGGGTCAGGTGTAGCTTCTAGATCTGCCTCTGGCAGACGACAGGATAAGGCCCCTCACCTTTGTCTTGTGGTGATGTAGACCACAACATCCTTGCACTGTGCATAACAGGCTCCATCAGAAGAACAAGACGTGGGTGGTGGGGAGCAGGGGGGAGTGGGTATCAGCTGGATATATCACTATTCCTCCTGACATCCAAAAAAGAGCCTGTGCTTGCTTCCCCAGCTGTGGAGTACCTGCCACCCTCCAGAGATGGTGCGCCCCACGCTTGAGAAAACCCTGAAGATCCTGCAGATGGACTACGTTGACCTCTACATTATTGAGCTGCCAATGGCTTTCAAGGTAAAAAAAAAAAAAAAATTGCCCTAAAAAGTACATGGCTGGCATGGCCATGAACCAAGGTCTTCATCTAGCATCCTCCTTGCAGCTTCTAGTCCATGTTGAAAATAGCACTTTGGCCCGATAACATTTGATGTGTACTGCATGCATACATTTCTGTGCAGTACCCACACAAGGAGAGGCTTATAGGTGGTGTGAGAACTCTTACTGACAGCTGTAGCATGGGGTCTCTCCACTGGAAGGACAGGTCTCCTAACTAGGGCTGAACACTTCCCGTGGTGAAGAATCACTGTAGCTGTAGCAGCACGTGTCTCTTAATCCTCTCTGAGCCACGAGGAGGGAGTCACTGGAAGAAAATGGTTTTACAAAGCAGCAAAAGGCTAGGGGCAAAGTTTGGAAGGGGAAAGGGAAAGGGGGAAAAGCCACCAAGTTGATTTCATTACTCCGTCCCAAAAAATGAATAGCCTCAGTAGTGTTAAAGCTACTGAGTAAACCATGTTTATGATCTTAATCTCCTTAACTCCAGTGCTCTTCTTTGACAGCTTCAGTAAATCACAGTTGGTCCCAGACATGGGTTGTCCATCTCTTACTCTCACATGCCTAAAAAATTAAAATCTCATATTCCTTCATACTGCTGGCTCTGGGCAACTTGTAATCAAAACCTCTGAATGCAAGGAGCTCCCATTAGAGCTGTATGCCTCCCTCGCAATGAGCTCTTGCAAGTCCCCAAACTTTCTGGTTTCACAGCCGTTTGTGCCTTGCTTTACAATTTTCCCCTGCAAGTACATGATATAAAGGCAAATTAAATAATAGTGAAATTAGAAGAATGAGATTCAAAATGTATCTCAGTGGTTTTGAACCAATTAAATCCTTTTTCTTGGAGAGAATAGCATCAGGCAATTAGCTGGCTAATTGTTTCTGTGGGATGTTTGAGCTCTTAACTGGCCTCTTTTTGCAAAGAAGGTAGTTCTCTGATTATTAAAATTACATTTTACTATGGACTCCAAACTGCCAGAAGCATCAGATAGGAAGCAATTTATCAATGAAGCAATCACCCTAGACCTGCAGTTCCTTTTTTCCCAAGGGAGCCATATCCCATTAAGACCTGTATAGGAGTAACTGGATTCAGATACTAAAACTTTTATTTATACGGTCCCATGTATGGAATCCTTTTGGGTACATTTTTAAAAATTTCCCACCACTTGCAGTTTCCTGTTTCCCTTTGCTCATGTTTGTATTCTCCAGTAGTTCATTCTCCCACATAGCGAAGGTCATTGTCTCACAATATAAAGATATAGACAGCTGGCTTTAAAGTAATGTACATCTGACTCCCTGAGGCCTGTATCAACAATCTGAGTTGTTAAAGGAGTAACAGTCCTAGAGATGCATTCGCATCCCCCGTGAGAGGAGAGGAAAAAAGAAGTCGCTTTCTGCCTGAAAAATACGCATTTTTCTGTGCCAAATACAAAACCTCCCACCCTTTTGCAATGGTGACAGGTTTCCTTTCTTTGCTCCCCCTCTCACAAATACACCCATCCCAAATACAATGCTTGCCTTTGATGAGGAGCATGCAGGTGTAACGCTAACAAACACCCTTTCTGCCCTAGGCTGCAAATATTGGTGCTTTCCCATCTCCCCAAAAGCCTACTAGCAAAAGCAGTCTCTGATTGAAACCAGTGAAGTACTTGACAAACCTTACAGTCCCAGTCTGAAACCAGTAAGAAACATGCCCCTGCGGGAGCCCAGTGGTGCAAGCTGTCACAGAGGCTTTTAGGCAAAGTAAGAGGAATCTGTTTTCAGACAACACCGCTCAGAGGAGGAAAGCCCCACCACGACAGCACTGTTGGGTGGATCAAGAATGGCTGGAATCTGGGGTGACATTATTCACTGACCTACCAACACTATCCCACACCTCCCTGTATTTTTCCCTCACACAGATTCTCCATTCAGGACTTTTGTCCTTCCTCCCTTTAGCCCAGCGGTAGTGCTCAGCCCCTCGACCCTAGCAAGGCAGATGACCAGCAGCAACAGGTCTCCTCCAGGCCACTACATGCCCTCTGCCCAGAAAGCCCCTACCCACTAGCAGGTTTTCTAGGGGCTCTCCTCAGATGACTGATCCATCAGTAAGCAGGTACCTGTGCACTAAATGATCTCCAAATCCCTCTGAACTAAATTGTTCTATCATCTAGAAGGAAAGCAGGCATTTTAGCCTTACATTGAACAAGTCTCATCCAAGTATCTTCTTGTCATTTTAAGAGACCTGATCAAAACAGACTAATGGCCTCACTATTTGACTTTCTATTGCCTTCTGTTTATACAATAGGCATTTGCAAATTGTTAGAATTGCTCTCTTGAGAAAGCCCACTTGTCAAAGGCCATTTTGTGAAAGCAATGGGATGTGCAGACCTGTCTTCCTGCATCTCCGTGGGCAAGGAAATTTTAATGGGAGCAGGGCTTTTCCTCTCAGTGATTACCAACTGCTGTGTTTTAAACATGCAAGTAGGTAGTCTGGTAGCTTTTGTTCCAGGCTTTGAACATGACATGATGTGATCCTGGAATAGTGTCAGCGACTGTATGGTGTTGTCCCACTTATTTCAGTGCTCATGTGGCAGCATGGTAGACTTACTTTCAGTCTAAGGTGCATGGCTATCTCCAAGAGAACTGCAAGAGAAGACAACGGCATTTGTGGGAATGACTGGTGCAGTGTAGTCCATGAGAACCCAAAGCTGAGAAATGTGACCAACTTCCAAAAGACCTTTTCAAAGACCCAGTAACACCATCCTGTCACCATCAAACACCGCCTTTCTCTCAGCGCTTTATCCCTCTTTATCCATCTGCAGACAGTTCTTTCATTCAGGAACTTCCTTGCATAAAAATGTAGCTTGGCAGAGAAAGTATTGCCTGGAGACTCTTGAGCAGAGACAGCTGTACTTCAACACCTTGTGCAGTTCCCTGGAGGCAAGAGGAAGGATTGATCCTTGTGGAAATCCACAACAGGAGGCACCATTTTTCTCAGTCAAGATAAATTCATCTTCAGGCACCATTCATCCTGATTTTGTTTGCTATTTAGAACACAAGTGATGATAGAAATAGAGGAAAATGGGGGGATGATAAATTAGCTAATGTAATTGCTGTCTATTGACTACTGTAAAAAAAAAAAAAAAAGCAATGTTGAACACAAGTTAATCAATTAGAAGTGGAACAGAGTAAAAAGGTCTTAGCATTCAGACTCATCCCCTGAACTCAAAGAAGCCCAACTGCTATGCATTGAGCTTGCAGTCCTTGGAGAGCCTGCTGGGACATCATGGTGATGAATGGTTTGTTCCAAAATACCATGGGGTGGTTTTGTAAATAGGGCTTCTCCACCTCAAGTTATGATGACAAAGATTTTGCCTTCTAATAGAAAAACATACCCAACAGCAACCTACCTCTTCTAGTCAAGATGGGTTTTTTTCAGCAAAACACAGCAACAAAGGCAACAAGTCATCTTTGTAGAATTCACTGAAGAAAACGAGCACCTTTGGACAAGATGGGCTTATGCCTGTAACTTAGACCTTGGCTTCTGAAAACTGAGGCTGTGTTTTCCTTAGGCTCATTTCTCCCATAAAATACCTTGAATTTTAACTTCTTGACTGAATTAGGAGGTGCTGGTTACTGATCATAGTAGTCACAGCTGCATGTTCCCAAGCAGATACCATGTCAACATCTTGTACCTGGGCCTTTGAAATGTAGCAGTTTGCAGTCAGATCAAATGTTAAACATCACTGCAGGGTTTTTATGAAACAAAAGTGAAATTGCAATCAGACAAAAGGGAGGGAGGTATTACTGTATTGCCTGCAACAGCAGTGAAATGACCAGCAAATAAGAGAACGCTGTGCTCGTGAGATATCAGCTCATAACTTATCTCTGAAGTCTTGTTTATAGGGTATAGAGATAAGAAGAAAGAGTCCCTAGTGCCTAAAGAAAGGTGGATAGTACACTTAAGTAGTTCATGGCCTGTACTACAGCTAGGCAGTTAGCCTTTTACTACTAGTAAGTAGCTCTTGGAAATGGTCCCTCCAACTGTTGGGAGCTGGACTGAGCTGGTACTCTTCCCAGGTGCCAGTGATACAAGCAGGATCAGGGGAAGGGCTAGGAAGAAAGGAGGGAAGAAGTAGAAGAGAATACAGGTTGGTACTCTAACCCAACTCTTTGGAAGGAGACCAGTCCTTTAGATGCCATAACGTTAAGGTCGAAAGTTTATTGAAAAAACAAAGCCATCTGGGAACTCTTGAGTGTGCACTCACTTCCAGTTCAGAAGTGTATCCAAGGATGATCTAGCAGTGGAGGATGTGGTAAGCCCAGCATGAATGACCTGTTGAACTTAGGGTGTTTCAGAAAGCTTTTGAATTTATTTTTTTGTGTGTGTGTTTGCTAGTAGAAACAGAGCCTGTGGAAAAAAAAGTTGCTCTGAGGAGTGAAAATTTTTATTTAAAAGTACAAAAGTGTGGTTTTACTTTTCAGCCTGGAGATGCAATCTACCCAAAAGATGAAAATGGAAAAATTATCTACCATGAGACAGACTTATGTGCCACTTGGGAGGTAAGCAAACACAACATCCATCTGTATATGCTTTAAAAAGACAGATCCTCATTCTTAGTTTTACTTGTGGCCTTCATAAGCAGAGCTGAGGCATACTGACAGGGCAAATGGATCAAATTCTACTAGCTCCATGGATAAATTTTACTTCTGTCCCTAAGGGTGTTGCTTCTTGCCATCACTTAATTATTTTTATGAAAAAATAAAACATTGTTGAAATATCTGACATCCACATTCCTTCTTTCAGAGAGTGCACTCTACACTTGCTAGCCGAGGTATCTCTCCTCTTTATCAGATCTTTATAGCAAGAGAAAGTTGGAGCCCTATGAAGTGACCATATCCTCTTCAAAAAAATGAAGTTTTTCACCTTCAAGAAAAACAGAATTTGCCCTAAAGCTCACCATAAAAAAAAAACAAAACCCAAACCACAAAAACCCAACAACAAAAAAACCCAAACCCCTTGCCATCAGAACAAGTTCACTCACTTTTAGATTTAATTGTGAGTATGCAAGGTTTTTTCTGCTAAGAAACTTGGAGGGAAGTAGTATTTGCCTGAAAGATTGCATCCTAAATTTGTTTGTGATGCACTCTAGTCCTATAGCCAGATGTCTCCTCAAGCCTACTGCCACCTGGCTTTGGGATCTCAGGTGAGGCAGAACATGAGATTAGCAATCTGCTCACGTTCCTGCCTTTCGAAGCCTTGGACACTCTTTACAATTCATGGCCAAAGCTGGTCAGCTCCCCTTCTGCACCATGTCTGCTGCAAAAACATTACTAATTCAGCCCAGTTCACACCAAAAGAGATAAACATGGGCTACTACACACTCCACTTCAGCTTGTACCATACAGAGCTGGATAGCTATGTCCCAGTTCAGCTCTACTGGAGGTGCAACAGATAGAGATGGAGAATGGATGAAATTCTGAGCGAAAGTTCAGAGTGGGAGAAAGCCCAGGGTGGGCTTGGGCTTTCCCCTGGCAGCTGAGCCATCCAGACTGGGTCTCAGGGGGAATGGGGACTTCCCGGGTAGCTGTTTATGTTACCCTTGTCTTTGGCTGATGCAGCTAATTCCTCTCTTTCGCAGGCTAGTTGCTCAAATGTTGAAAACAACAGCTGTCCCAGCACTGTTATGTTTTTATCTTCAAGCTGGTGCTCATTGTAAAGGGTATGTTGTAACAGGTCGCTCTCTTCAGCTAAGCAACCAAGAGAAAAATAGGTGGTGGTGAGTGCCTGCAAATAATAGCATCAATCTAAATAAAACTGGCTAAACTCATTCCAGATAATTTCACTCTCTCAGTATGGTGCTAGCAGACAAAAATGGCTCCGGATGACTATATTTGGTGACTTGTCACTGGGTGATACAAAGCATATGAGGGCAACTACAGGTCATCAAATCCACGGGTGCCTCTTACCTCCCTGCTTTCAGCTCCCACAAGACAGAAAGGAATAACAAAACTAGCAGGAGGGGCATCCAGCTCCACAGTGGGGTCTGCTCTGCCTCAAACAGCCACTGAATCCTCTGTGTGCAGAGTTTCTGGGAGCAGAGGGGAAGAGTGTAGGAAAGGACCCTCTTTTCCCTTAACTCAGGAGATGAAGCTAATGAAGACCAGGGCATGTATTCCTATCCAGTATTCATAAGACTTTCTCAGCTATTAGGATTTGCCTGAAGTGCAGAATATCTAGAATTCCTCTCTCCCCCTTTTTTTTCCCCTCTACTTTATACTGTACTGAAGTTTTCTATGCTGGTTTTGTGATTTGCCTTGCTAAATATTTAGGGGATTTCACTGGATTGATATTTCATATGAAAAACTCTCATACAATCAAAAGGAATAAATTGACTTATCAGGAAAGCAATCTGGTTTGTTCACTCTCTCCAGTTTTGAGGCAGTGCTAAAGCAGCATAAAGTAAGCAAAACTCTATGAAAACAGATGTCTGGCACTTACATATCCTGTATCTCAGATTAATCTTTCTGCTCGCCAGACAAATTCTACCTTCACAGGATGTATAAAACATTAGGGTTTGGTCTGGAAAGCAGGTCTACGCAGGAATGGAGTTTAGAATAGCAAGATGGCACATGCTAGTAGAGCCACTAGTTCTGCTGCAACAAAGGTTTTTCTGCAGTGTCAAGAATGGCCTATCTTCCACCTATCTCTAAAACATACACTCCAAGGAATCAAGCCAACATATGGGACTCCCCTATTCTTTGCTTCCTTTTCAGGCTATGGAAGCATGTAAAGATGCAGGCTTGGCAAAGTCTATTGGAGTATCCAATTTCAACCGCAGGCAGCTGGAGATGATCCTGAACAAGCCAGGACTTAAGTACAAACCTGTCAGCAACCAGGTATGACTGCAAGCTGAGGGCAGTGCCTGCCATGGTGCCACTGCCCTGTAGGGAATGCAGAAGCAACATGTGGCCTGAGCCAAGGGTGATGTATGCTTTGCACAGATACTGCCCTCCATACAGTCACACTTCCATTTCTAGCTTGAAAATATTACTCATCCTATCTAGGCTAGAGATAAATGTCTGAAGATCCTGGAACGATCGTTCTGCTCAGTTCCTGCTCCAGGACTGTAAAACCGGTGCCTCAGTGCCAAGCTCTGTAACAAGGTTGAATGCTGAGTCAACGCAGATCTTAAATCTCTGCCGTGTACCTTATTTCAAGTCCAAAAAATTCCCAAGACAAACAATTCGGGGCTAACCAGTCCTCAAGGAAGCCATGTCTACCTCAGCTGACACTAAACCAAAACAACCCTAAGTATCAGGGATCCTGAGTCACTCCAAGATTCCCAAGTTTAAAAGACATTAGAAGTAACTCCTAAATTTCCTGTACTTGCTCTCTTGTGCCTTTCCTACAAGACGTCAGTAAGAGCTAGAGGAAAAACCTAAATTAAAGAGGACACCCCATTAAGTGACCAACTTGAGCTGAACAAGCCTATGAAGATGATAGGCATGTCCAAGTTAAATTACAGTAGCAGGGCTCTGAGAAGCTGGTAAGCAGCAGTGACCCATCTGAATTCCTGATACCTTTGAAGCAGGCATTTGGCAGCTCACTGCATTTCCTAGAAATCACTGGGAAGCTCTTCTGCCTCATCTGGCACAAACAAACATCCACATTAGCACTATCAGAGAAGAGGCCAGAGACCAACTGGGACCAGCTTCCCACACTCAGCACATGGCTTAGAGGGCTAGGATTGGCACAGGGCAGGGAGGCTGGCTACAGCCTTCATTCCTGTCTTCAGCCTGCATGGAAAGGCAGCCTACAAGAGGAGGAAATTCTAGCACCCTTCACTGGTATTAACATGACCAGCTGGTGCAAAATGCAATTGCTGTTTCTGGCGTCCCCCTAAGACTGCGCTGAGCATCATTGCTGCTGCTTTCTGGGGTCAAGGAAAACCAGGCAAAAGATTAAGCCCAGCTTAGGGCAGCTAGCTAGCAACCATGGATGTGCCAGCTAGCTTCAGACTGCCTGCAAACAGTGGTTGCTCTGTCACCTTGTAGGCATCCCTTTCCCAGAAACTAAGAACTCAGTCAGAAAATCCCTGCCTGTAAGGGAATGGTGCACAGTATTTGCAGTGTGGAAGGGCAGAGCTTGTAATAAAGTCATAACCATTATGGAGATGCCTTATCTTTTACATACCCCCCCCCCCACCTTTCTATCTGGGACAGCTTATGCCAACACTTCCCCTAAAAACAACATCAGATTAGTCATCCTGAATGCAAGAGGCAGAAAAACAAAGATCTGACCCACGTGAGATGGGTTGCCTTCTCAGCCTACTTCTCTAGTGAGCTTCCCTCACCTCCTTCCCCACACTTATTGCCACCTTTCCACTAGGGGGTCAATAAAAATTCCCTGCAGCCAAATTATAATCACAGATGTCCACAAAAAAAAAATAAAATCCATCACACAGCAATGTACATTTAGAACAGTAACCACAGGTTTTGTTTCCCTATTCCTTAATTTACATGTATCCTTTCCTGAAAGCATCATCTGGTCTGTAGCTCTTACAAATATTGGGATGCCATCTGCTTCTGCATCTGGTCCTGTTGATTGGTCACCCTTTCTATTTTACTTTTGTAGGTTGAATGCCATCCCTATTTCACCCAACCCAAACTCCTCGAATTTTGCAGACAACATGGCATTGTTATTGTTGGATACAGCCCACTGGGAACCTCAAGGGATGAAACATGGTGAGCTTCCCTGTTACTCTGTAATAGCAGGATCACTATCCAGGAAAAGAATAATAGTTCTCCGTTGCCGGATCTCTGTGAAAAATACCTTTGTCCCCATTTTTCAGAGTAGTTTTGAACTTCAGCATCTAAATATTACTGTTGTGAATGTAAACGTGCAATGCTCCTGCTGCATGCTGTCATCAAAAAATGCCAGGTGTCGCCTGGAGGTCGCCTTAGTTCTTCTCTAACAGGAAGCAAGCGTCTGTAACTGGGAACGTTGAGGCTTAGGTGAGGAAATATAAACTAAGTCAATGTTAGGACATCAGATAGGAAGTTGCCTTTGATAGCCTGCCAACCTAAAAGCCAAAGCTTTTCTCCCATCTTTCACACTACTTGTCAAAAAGGTGCAGTATTCTGTCCACAAAAAAAGAAGATGCCTCTATGTTTTGACATTAAAGATAAGGAGGATTGGTTTGTTTTCTTTTTTTCCAATTCTCTTCCAGGGTAAACGTGTCCTCCCCGCCTTTACTGAAGGATCCTGTGCTGAATGCCATTGGCAAAAAGTACAACAAGACAGCTGCACAGGTTGCTTTGCGTTTCAGTATCCAGCGAGGGGTGGTGGTCATCCCAAAAAGCTTCAATCCACAACGCATCAGAGAGAATTTCCAGGTAAGTTTGTACTCTGATGGTGCATGGATGCATCTACTTGCACTGGCTTAGCTCCTATAGAAGGTGATTTTCCCATTTCTTTCTGTAGACATAAGGCTTGACCAGTGTCAAGCTTTGCCACGTTTGGTGCTTTTTGTCCCCATCACTTAACAGTACCATGATATGACAGTAATAGGGCAGAGTAGAGAGGAAATTTTGGTGTCTTTTAACCCTCTGGAGTAGCTAAAGTTCCAGCTGGTGGTGTATCCCAGAGCACCAGTGGTTGCAGTAAGCAGCACAAGCGAGATGAAGTAGTTCAGCAGCCCAAGGCTGCTGGTTGAAGGTGTTCAGGAATGACCAACTTGTTTTGCCCAGTCTTGAGGTATGGGGCAGGTCTGTTAGGGAAGGGTTGCTGCATACAGGTGTGCAAGAACAGCTCATAACCACACCACCAGAAAGCATCTGGCTTGACCACCACACCCAAATGAGATAAAGAATTCGTTCCTGTGTCCCTTGCAGCACCCAGTACTCACACTGCTCCCCGCTTTCCCTGCCAATGTATTGCTTTCAAAGCTGGTAGCCCTAGAGAGAGGAAGACTACCTTTCTCTTCTTGCAAAAGTGTGTAAGCAGATGTGACTGGATTTCTTCACGTGCTCAAGACTTTCCTATAAATGCAAGCAAGTATGGATTTATGGGGGAGATGGGAGGGAAGATTGTACTTCTGAATTCTGGCACATATGAATGTTGATTTTGACAAGAAATGCTAACTTATTCCCAACACCTCATTCCATTAGATCTTTGACTTCTCCCTCACTGAGGAAGAAATGAAAGCAATTGAAGCCCTGAACAAAAACGTTCGTTACGTGGAACTGTTAATGTAAGTCCAGGAGGAATCCTAGATCCTCACAGAACATTCCTGTCTTTTCAGATGATTGTATAAAAAAATCACTTTCTTTTAATTTTTTTTTTTTTTTTTTTTTTTTTTTTTTTTTTTTTTTTTTTTTTTTTTATAAACAACCTTATTTGAAAGTAAGGCTTAAATATGGGATGTCTTTAATGCAGCCTGAATACGCTCCTGGACCCATTGCAAAAATAAGCGTGCAATACTTGCTCACAGCTCAGATGCCAAAGCCCACCTAGTAGAAAGTGACCATATCTGGCTATTCCATCTCTGCTCCCTCTCCTTAAATGCTTTCTGCTCCATATTGTAACGACAGTCTCCACTCACAAGGTATAGCATTGCCCCTGTCTAGCAGTGTGGAGAACGGAGCCAAAATTCAAATAGGAGCACTTTCTTGTCTTTCTGCTCCTTCCCACCTTCACTTCCAGTGTTCAGCAAGCCATGTGGCTGTCTGACTACAATGGAGTGTAAACCTAGTGCTTCCAGAGGCAACCTGTCCTAAATTGCTACGTGAAAGGCTAAGAATTAAGAGCACTGCTATGTGAAACCACAGGGCTAATTTAGGGACAGCTCTGTTCCTTCTTGCTTAATACTTTCATCAGAACATCAGAATTTGCCTACCCAAATTCCTCATTAAAAATGATACACCTAGATGACCACAAGCGGTCAGAAACTTTGTTTTGGCCTTTCTTCTGATGCTGTCTTCTTCAGCAATATCCCTCTCCTGCTGTCATGTTGAGTTGTACCTTCTTACATGGAAAGCAGAAAGCCATGCAGCTTGTTTGACTGATAGACCACTTCCTAATTATCACTTCTGAGCATTAACAAGACTTGATTTCTTGCTGCTTGTGATCTAAAGCTTACCATCCAATGTAGTTTTGCTTCACCTGAAGGCTGCGCTACCCCAGAAGGCTGAGACTGACCCAACGTCTCGTCTGGAGAATGAGGCTGTTTGTTTTTCTTCCAGCTCAAGAGCATTGTTTTTCTTCCAGCTCAAGAGCATCTACAGTTTAAGGCCAAACTTTATGCTTTCCCCTTTTCAGGGTACTCAATGTGTAGCCAAACACCAGATACTCATTTCCACACATTTCTCTTGTTACCTTGGATTATCTGTGTCTTGCCAAACTGTAGTGTGCTCAAGCACTAAAAATAATGGAAAGCAGAATAACAGCATCAACAGCACTAAGAACAGATAAGAAATATGAACTAAGTGAAAAGCATCATAGTGGAGTTCATCTTTCACATTTAAGCTCAGCCAGGTGCTCTGAAGCTTTAGTTTCTTAAAACAGCCTTCCTTCAATTAGCAGCACTTCATTCCAGAAGGCTTCTCACAAATGGCCTAGCAGATTCTTATGTGCGTTTTGGTATTTGAAATTGTTTGGGTTTTCATAGCTAAATTGAGCTATAACATCATTTAAACTTGTAGTGAATACATACATGAAACGTAACCTTGGTGCAAATGCAAGAGTCTTTTCCAGAAGCAAAGTTAATGGATGCAAATGCCTACAGGAGAACTTTCTAAGCCACCAATCAATCCAAAAGCTAATAAACTAAATGATTTGCTTTGTTAGACTAAATTTGGTCCCAGGAGGCCACTGAGGACAAGGAAAACAGAATGCATAGAATGGACTTTGCCAGCTCTATTTTTCACAGGAGTGCCGTGTCTGGGGAAATTGCTTAAATACTGTGAAAAACACCTTCTCAGAAAAGTGGTGTTGCCATGTAAGGAGCAACTAAACCTGTATCTCCCTACTATGTGTGCTTATACTGAAGTGTCTGGAATTGACACTGCAACAGATGACTCACCAGCCTAGAGAGATTTCCCGATTTCATCTAACAATATGTATCTGAAAAAGTCAAACCATCATACAGAAAGTCAACTTCGTGCAAAACCTTTGCCTGGTGTGATGCAAATGCCAGCAGGA